GGGCATAAACGAATGATCGACACTTAGAACATCGTTATTCTCCTTCCTGTTATTATTTTTCCTTCCAAGATTTGCATATCAATGTGACTGTTTTATAATTCTTTTAAAAGACACTTGTTTTTATAAAAGACATAGGGGATGTATACCTATGTCTTCTATAGAAAAAATATTTATTTATCAACTATAAAGAGAGAAAAAGAGAGACAGAGAAAAGTAGACTTTGAAGATAGACAAACAGAAGGCGTGTGTATATACGGAACGCCTTTAACCATTTTAAAGTGTCCGACATTATGCAAGACGTGCTCCAGTTTCAAAGGCTCGCTTTGGTATTCCAACTCACTTTCACTCATTCACTCGTCGACTCTTTTATCCTGTATTCTCTCTCTCTTTCTCTCTTTCTCTCTCCCTCACCTTTATTTGCACGACTTTCACTTCTCCGGACTTCGTAGGTCCTTCGTTACACCCCTCTTTGCGTTATATTTCAAACTACATCGTAATGTATAGATAATAACGTTGCGATTTATTTCCGATATATATATATATATATATATATATATATATATATATGTATGTATATGTGTATTGGAAATAAATATGTATATATATACATATATACATATATGTATACACTCGGTATACATTTTATCATTTTGAGAAGAACGAGGTGATAGAAGTCGTGACCGCTGCAATGAGTCACCAAGATAGATGTTTATCGTTCAATCTACTCTGTTCCAAGTAAAGACACGTATAATTTTGTTTTCTCTTAAGGTCGTATTCCTTTTACGTCTATAGTACTTTAATTCAGAGCATCGACGAGTGTCCAGCCTAGAAGATCGTTATCTGCAAGGTGATTTAATACTCTTCACATTCTTATGTCTCCGAGTTTTACCTGAAATTATATAATACGATAAGAAGTCTGCTATGTTCTTAGAAAGACTCATGTGAAAATTATATAAATATCTCTCTCACGAAAAGGCGCCGGCATAAAGTAGGTACTACGCCGAAAACCACAATCTTCCTTGCGAAAGGCATCTTTTAGATACTAACTGGATTTTGTAATTTTTCGTTGCAAATCTTGTCTCGAGTTAACGGCCACTCCTCGCTTCAGCCACCACTATAAAGGATTTTAATGAGACACGCATACCTGCGATGAAAACGAGCATTTAGGTAGATACAAGTATCACACATATCTATGTACATACGTATCTATATACGTATAGTATGGAAGGAGTAAATCGACTCGAATGAATTTGGTGTAAATCCGACCAAAGAAAAATAAAAAGAAATTTACAGTCGATTCGCGAGTCATTCAGTTCTGCATTACAAGCGACTCTACGTAGCATCCCATTCTCTCGATGCCTTTTGCGAGTATGTAATCACGTAGCATTCTTCGCAATTACGTTTTTAACAATCGTTCGTTCGTGACTAAGTGCAAGAAATTCAATTATATTTATTATGTGGGCGAATTATTAGCGGCTTATATGATCTCGATAATGAGTAATTTATGGTTAAGACCACACTGAAGTCGATATTTTTCGTCTTCCACATTTGTGTTAACTTTTTTTACGTTAAAATATAAAAAACAATTTTTTTTAACGTTACATTCTCGTCCGATATTTCATACGAGTATGACATTTGACAATATTCAATTACAATACTTTTCATATTCTTTATTAGGCATCCCTCATGATAGAATCACCACAATATAGATATATCTATAATAATAAAGATGCCCATGTTTTATGTTATTCCATTGTGTTACATGATCTTATTCCGATGAGAATGTTCAAGCCAAATGCCAGACGTAAGGTATAGTCTGAGAATCACATTATTTGTCGGCGAGTAGAACTACGAAACGTAATTTCAATCATTGTTGAGAATGCAATTTGTACGGATTACGTTGCTACCAAAGAGATATTAGAAATGATTTTTGTAATAAGTTTTTCATATGTGTTGGTTTAATACATGTTGCGTCACTTATCCAAATAATTATAAATTTTTAACGAACAAAAGGAAGAATATATTTTGAAAATTGATCAATCACATTTATTGCATATGGTTCAAACAAAGAAAACGTATTGATAATAATTCTATCTGTTTCCGCTTTAATTAACAATAAGAAATCTCGTGAACTCCCTTTGATTTTTGAAGAATTTAACTCGTGTCGTTATAGAACGGTGAGTCTGTCATTTTTTTGGATCAACTTGCGAACAAATACGAGAACTACGATTTCGAGGTCATATCGAGTATACTGGTGAACGGATCTTTGAACGGGACCAGGATCTCCGTTTCAAGCGCCATTTAATTTTTTTCTTTATTTCTTTTAATCGTTAATCCACATCTTCCAAGGACGTCCGTCGTCACTATTTTGGCTTTTCTCAACGACCTTCCTCCGACTTGAGTTAACTGATACTTTCAATGTCAACAGGAAGACCGCATTCTCTTGTCTTTTATCTTTTTTTTTCTATCTCTATCTGTCTGTCTATCTCCTCTCTTTCTCTCTTTCTCTCTCTTTCTCTCTCTCTCTCTCTCTCTCTCTCTCTTTCTCTCTCTCTCTGCCTCATTCCATCTGTTTTCTCACATATTTACAATAATTATACGGATCCACATATTTCTGTCAAGTATTATGCATGTAAGTACGCATAAGTGACATGCAATGATACTCTTTTTGTAGAAATATACATAATAATTGGTAAAATTATTGATTATGTTAGATTAATTTTTTTTTTGACGATAGATCTTTCTTGTAAAGATTTTTTTTTTGATATCGATTAGATAAACAAGAAAAATTATTTACCGTATGACTGATAAATTTATATACGACATTCTTAATTATCGATTACTTTATATTTCTGAACTATTTTATTTATGGATATCGCATACTTGTATTTACATCTTTCTAGATAAATTGCATCCATTTTGGTCATGCTTGACAAATGCAACATCTTTTTTTCTTGTAAATTTTTTTCTAAGTTTATCTCTTTCTCTTTTTCTTGAATACGTTCAATAAAGTTTCGATAAAGTATTCGCCGATTATCGAATCTGAAATTTTGTCAAACTTTTACGAATTATTATATAAAATTTTAAAAAATTTCAGTATATTTTTTTTTTGAGTCGAAAGTTCGAAAAATTCTCTATCATATTAACTCGAACTGATATCATCTTTCTATAGTTCCATTAGGTAATTCTCTTTTAATGATATCGATTTCTGTTAAGAATTGACTTGATATCATGAAGTTTTAATTAAGTTGTATGATTACCTTGATTCTAACAAGTTTTATATTTATCGTTTGACGTTTCATAATCTGAGAGAAAATCTTGATATGTTAATAAATATTTTTTGCAAAGAAGTGGATAAAGAAGAAGAGAAGGAAGTTGCTGACAAGTTTTTGTAGGTAAAAAAAAAAGAAAGAAAAAAAGAAGTGGTTAGAGAAATCTGATCGATGGAATGTCGTATGAAACAGGAATATTTTTTTCTTGATAATTTTTTTTCTTTCAAATATCATAAAAAAGATAAAATTCTTTGTTTACCAAGCCAATTTGCATTTCACGGATTCCATTGTAATTTACATCCTGTTACAAATCAACCTAGCACGGTGTCGAACAACGCTGATCAAGATACAAGCATATACATAGTATAATGATCTTAAAAACAGTTACGAACCGATCCAGTTTCTATAATGGCAAGTTTCACGCGCCCTACCCGTTGTCATATTTGTCCGAGTAAGTGAATCAACACGAATAAAACTTATATGGGAGAAACATTTCGATGAAATATAAGTAGACAAGGGTTTTGTTGTTCCAGCAAATATTCTCACGTAAGAGAGTGAGCTGAGATGCTATATGACGCAAGTTGTCGGCTTCCTAGCAAATCAATTCGTCCTTTCTTATGAGTCGGCCGATCCCACGATAAAATTGCATTAGAAAGTTTTAAAAAGAGTTTTGAAAAGAAAATCGAATAAGTATTTATTACTTTGCTGAGACAATACAATTTTATGATCTCTATTTAAATGATAAACTAAATAAGATTTGCATAAAGAATTTTCTATTATTATCATAAAGTCAATTTTTTCATTTTCTTTAAATTATATAGATCGATATAAATGTTGATGCATCGCACGTACTTACATAAACAATCCATAGCCGAGTTGCATAGAGAGACACATTATGCGTATAGCGTATGCGCAAGGTCGACCAAAAATCCGCTTACTTTTCTCTTGCGCAAGCTACCACGTATGCCGTTCGCATTTCAATATCCAACAAGTAATACCGCTATATCAACTAGTCTTATTTGCTATTATAAGATAACATAGACTTGATGGAAATAATCGAAAGGGTTGCATCCGATCGTCATTATTTTCTAATTCGTTAAAATCAAATTGATGAGATTTTATTTAAACGACCAATTATTTCCTCTAATAATTAATTTGAAAACCGTGCAGTTATATACGAGAGACTACTTAAACACATAGGAAACAAACTAATGTATCTTTTCAGTATGGAAAGGCTAGCATTAGCAAAGGAATATCCAAATACGGTGTCCAACTAAAAGAAATATGTAATCGGCGGCAGCGCGTAAAATTGAACGATCAATTCGTAACCATACGTGTCGAGTCCTCCCTATTAACGAGTATTGTCTGAATGCTGGCCAATGTAAGGCTAATTTGCTCTTAAGGCAATCTCCTTCCTAGTAATTATAGTTCCCTGTGAAATTAATGTCCATTCTAAGCTGTATCGCTACTCCAACGCAGCCGAGCATACACGAGGAAGTTTCGCGTAAAATATAATAATTTTGTAACGTTTGCTTGGATCGTTAATTAAAGAAGAAAGAAAGAAAAAAAGAAAAAACAGAAAAAGAACATTTGAACTATAATATTTTTTTCGTAGGAAAACTTTTCTAAATAATAATTATAAGTATTAATAAAAATCTTCTAATTAAATATTGGAAATAAACAAATTGATTTGTAATTTATAAATTCTTTCTTTTTTTTCCCTTTTAGGTTGTCAACGAAATACACCAAGAAGTGCAAGAGCCAGTAGAAATGATGCAGCTTTGGAGTTTGAGTGTCCCGAAGAGTTCGGTTATTATCCTCATCCGCGAGATTGTACGCAGTACTACGTTTGTGTCTTTGGCGGTGCTTTACTCGAATCTTGCACGGGAGGCTTGATGTATAGGTATGTAATAACCACTAATAGAATATCATTCACGTGATTGATTGATCGATAGATTGATCAATTTTAAGATCTTTTAAACAAATTCACATGTATTTGATAGAGAATAGAAAATGTTTCGAATGATGTGAAAAGGTGACTGATTCGGTGAAAGGGAAACTTTCTGTATCTTCGTTCTCTTCGTTGCTTGCATGTTTATAATGTCGCATACCTATTCCATAAGTATATAATCGTAGAAGGCCAACGTCCGCTTGAATTACTTTGCGGTGACAGGTGAACTCTTGTGAGAATATCTTGTGAGAGAGAGAAAAGAGTTTCTTGATACTTCACAAAGAATGAACGGCTAATATGGCCGTGAATTAGAATGATAGTAAATGCGTAGAATGAATGGTATTTTTATTTGAAAACAGAATGATTAATAAGATATACGATACAGTTTGCGTTCTCGCAGATATTCTTTCAGAGATAGGAGATCTTAAAATTTTTAACAATTCTCGTTTTGTCATGTTTTCGCTTTTCTATTTTCATTATTTACTTTCAGATTGATATTAAACGTTGACTTAAAAGCTGTTATATTGGATTTTAAAAAATTTAGATCTATTTCAAAAGTATTAATTTTATTCGAACGATTAATTCAAAATTATTTTGTTAATTTAAGATTCGAATTGATAATCATGGTATAATTACAATTCATGAAGTTGTATCAAGCTGTGCATTTACAACGTGTTTCTATCTTTGCTATTCGACTTTCGTCTAAAGTAAAGTTTATAATGAATTTTACGTGCCAACATGTCTGATGCAAACGCCACTTTTGTCGATTGACCATTCTAGTGCGTACTAACTTGCTCGTTCGACGCTTTCGATCGGAACTTTAACAAGATACTGCTATGATCTTTAGACCACTATGGTGCTATAGTGGTCTAAAGAGACTAGGAAGCTAACGAGTCTTTGGGGTCAACGATTTGCGCCTAAAATTGTAGAATTCTAAACATTACTTTTTAAGATCAACTTGTTTCTATGATATTTCCAGAAATTCTCGTATTTTCTTTTATTTTTTTTCTTCCTTTTTCTTAACTCTAATATCAATTAGAATTTCATAGTTGCGAGGACGATTTTAATATAAACCTCATGTGAAATATGAGTTTTGTCAAACTCGATTGTATTAGAAATCTTCGAGAGCCTTTCGTTTCTCTTACGTAAAAGTAGATACTACGCGTTACTATTAAGTTTGAAAAGAAAACTCGTCCATACGTATACAGACTCGTACGCAAAGTTTTAGAGTTGGAGCGTTGCGGAGGAGTGATATTTTTCCTTTTAAAGATTAACAAGAAATTACAAAGCTATTCTTGAGACGCATACCCTTGACATTTAACATCCGCCTCACAAGTTTATTCCAATGGATTGAGTCGATTGAAATAATTTTTGCGCAAAGTTTCATCGATTTCATCAAACGTTTTATGATCTTAACTCGATTCGAGTTCGATATAAGGGATGTTTCGATTCGCTAAGCTAAGATATAGAGAGAGAAAGAGAGAGAGAAAGAGAGAGAGAGAGACAGACAGAGAGAGAGAGAGGAAGAGAGAGAGAGAGAGAGAGAGAGAGAAAGAGAGAGATATCTTCGAGGTTGAAATATTTATAAGATGTCGATTTCAAATAAGTAAGTATATGGGCGATCGGCGCGCATAAAGCCGACCCTGGAGCACTTTCAATCCGGTCGTCTGGTTTTGCACAGTAAAAGGGGGTCGTACGTATAAGTGTAACCCTGGAAAAAATTGATCTGCCACACCTCGTTCGATACGGAGCGCGCGGTATATTCGAACCGGTGTGGCTCTCTTCATATATGTATGCGTAAATAAGTGTGTCTGTATATACTAATATATGCGTGATGTATGTGTGTGTATGTGTATGTATGTATGTATGTAGGAAAGAGGTTCTTAATAGTAAAGCGATATCCGATTAGGTATAAATCTGAGATTACAATGATATTAGGTAGATACTCGAATTGTCCAGTTTATTATTTCAAAAGGGAAAAATCTTTTTTTATTCACATTATGTTCACAGTCATGAATTGCAGACGTGCGATTGGCCACGTAACGTTGGCTGCCCTGAAAGTGGTTCGGTCAACAAGGAAATCAACGAGGATCCGCTGTTGGAAAGGTATGACTTTGAAAGGGACAATCCGATCTTTCAGTTTTTTATAAAAATAATTCGTATGTACATATCTATATATGTATATATATTCGACATAGCAATCTCTCATTGAATACACTCCAACAAAAATATTCTCGTAACGCTCTTTCCCGACGTTACTTTTTAATTATAATTGACTGCATTCAAGTTTATTAACCGAAGTAATCGTGCACACGCAAAAAGTAATTGAGACATCGTCTAATGACGTCATCATCGCGTAGCATCGTTTATTCGTGCGATAGAACATACTCGCTCGAGAGTTTTCCCACCGTCTTGCTATTAGATCGACGATCGACCATAATAGAATCGCAATCTTACGCTTAATTACGAGTAGGTAATTACCGATAACGCTTGATCGCGGGATAATTGAAATAACGTGACGCTTTTCCCACGAGTCTTAGCGTGGAAAAATGATTTCTATTGGATAAAAGGAACTTTGTGATCGATCTTGACTTCCTCGAACGGATGTCCGTCGATCACTCCAATCGATCCGAATTTTTTTGTTAGGATTACGAAACGATTCCGTTTGTATTTCACCCACGTTTGAAAGTAAAGATAAAGAAAGAAAAAGTATAAACCGTAGACCGAAAGAGGTGAAAGAAGGTGAAAGAGTTCGGTCAGGGAGAGGTGGAGACAGAAAGAGGGAGGAAAAGGAGTAGGATAAATGAAGGAGGGAGAAATCAGAGAAAGGAAAATAACTTTGAGATAGAACGATTCGCGAGCACGATTCCTGTCTGTCCTGGTCAAACCTTTCCAACCTCCTCGCCTCACCTATTCTACTTGCGTTATTCTAACTCGCATGGTTAAATAGTTGGTGCTATATAAATACGATGTACGTGGGTCGAACAAGGCTTTCGACTTATCTCTATACGCGAATACTAGATCAGCCAAGGCTACGTTCATATTTTCATGCTACTTTTTCGCTAAGGAACATTCCATTTGAGTTACAAATAAATGTTTAGGGTTATCGAATGAGTTTTTATTTTCTTTTTTCTTTTATATATATAAAAAGTCGTCATAGTGAAATTGAACATTTTTTGGCATGACAACAGTTTATATAAAAAGATTTCTTGTGATGAGAGGGAAAGAGAGAGAAACAGAGAAAGAAAAGGAGAGGCGGGAGAGAGAAAGAAAGAAAAACAAATTTAGTTTTGAATTTTACTTCCGGCTATATTTTTCACAATCATTTCTATCGATTCTTTCTTTTCCCTTGTGAACTTCTCGTTGCGCCGTCTGAGATTCGTTTTTCTTACTCTCTCGCGTAAGTTTGTTGGCCGTAGACGGTATAAGCCAAGTGTCCCGTTGCGCAACAAGTTAAGCAATAAGAAGTCAGTGGGCATTCATTAAAGTATTGTATAGGAGTAAATGGAGAGGGGAATTTGATTTCTCAATTTCTACTAACTCGTTCTTCTCTATGTCTTACTTTATTCCGGGTGTTAACGATAGCAATTATGATAGAATAGTTAGCTTTTCAAAATTCGAAGAAATACGTTATTATTGTGATATTAACGTATACAAATATCGACATTATCATGAACAAATTGTTCACGCAGGTCTACAAAAATCGAGTCATTGCAACAACAACAACAACAACAACAACAGCAGCAGCAGCAGCAGCAGCAACAACAGCAACCTTTGCAACGAACGATCCAAAGGCAACCACTTTTAATTACTTCAACATCTTCCCCAGCACCTCAGACCACGGAACGACAATATCGTCAGCGACAACAAGCTAGAAATTATCCTGAGGACGATTACGAACCTCCCAGTGAGATCGAGAACGATAGACAGCAACGAGTCTACAGAGGACAACCTTCGACGATAGGACAAGTGCAACGTGACCGTGATGGACTTCGTAGAAACATCATATCTGTGAGTGTTGATTCTTTCGGAAATGATAGAGAAAGAGAAAAAGAAAAAAGAGAGAAAGAGAGAGAGAGAGAGAGAGAGGGGATGATTAGAGAAACGGAGAGATTTGATCGAGTAATTTTTTTTTCTTTCTTTATCGTTAATCACAGGAGAGAGAGAAGGAGAGCCTGGTGAACGCACGCGTTCAAGCAGAGTCCCATTTCAGGTATCGTAGAAGTGATAATTTTTATTAATCGATTTATGTATAATTGTGATTTCTCTCCCTGAAATGTATTATAAATAAATTACGAGAAGTTTTAAGGAAATGTTGAAGTATCTATTCTTTCAATACATGTAGGACTCAGGTACCTTCAACGGAGTCATCTAGAATCGCTAAAACTTTGGCGTCCACGGTAGCACCGATCATATCAAAATCATATTACAATGATCCTGATCAAAGTTATCCTTATTACACAATTTATGAAGATGACGTATCCATGTATAAGGATGACGGTGAGTCCTATTTTATTTGATTACTTTTAAGATAAAAATTTTCTATTCGATTGAATATTATTCTTAAGATTCGAATAAACGACACTAAGCTTTTAAATCTTTTCCTTTAACGACTTAACATTTTAATGATTACTTCTTGTTGTTAATGTCCTCACAGACCCTTCCTTGACATTATCGAGGCAAGGCATTATTTCTCACAATGACCATGACATTTCTCGCTTAGATTACAATCAATACACGGTGAATCAAACAGTTCCATTGCAACAACCAAACGTGAAGATAAGCGAAGTTAGTACAAAACAATATCCACAAAAATCGAAAAAAGTTAGCGTTAACGATGCGGATAGATATAATCTGAATCATGACGTTACGGCACAGGACTATGATATCTATGAGAATCAGGTGAGAAAGATAGATTAGATGATTTTCTTTCTCTCTTTTTATATTTTTATTATTTTATCATTTACTTATTCTCTATTTCTTTAGGCTCAATTAAACAAAAATAAATTCAGAATCTCCGAAGGACAGCCACCTTTAAGGTAAAATATTAAAAAATTATTTTTATTTTTTCATGACTCGTTCAAAAATATACGTATGACTAAGATACAAAGATTTTTTCTCTGTCGAATCGAAGTGTTTATTGTGTATATTTAATCAGCATTAGAAATAGCCGAGTAGCTATATTCGATTAAACATGTGAACATTTCTTGTACGTCATAATACACAATACAGGACGAACGTAGTGAGCCATCCGGTGGTCCACGTGACGACTCCGAACACTCTAGTTGACACGTTTGTCCCATTGACGACTACCACTCAAACACCTACAACAAGCGCCAGGCCTTACACCGTTAGTGTTTCAAGGTATGTGTTTCAATGTATGTACCTACATATATATAAGAAGTTCGTTAAATGGAAATGTTTTCTTCACGTCTCTCCTTGATATCAGATGGATTCATGTGATCTAGATCGATGAAAATGAGTGGCGAAGCGTCTTGAAGGGCCGTTGGCCGAGACCCGATTTCGCTCACGCACATAATGGCCTCCGCAAAAGTGATTCCTCGCTCTTACTTACTTTCTCCAGCGAGGAACAACGAAGAGTTGTCCTCCCGATTCAATTCAACAATCTAAATCTTTTCTTTTTATAATATTTTCTTTTCATATTTCAGCCGAGGCCGTCCGCAACAAATCAACCGAGGCACTGCACCTCCGTAAGTCGACCAATTATTTCTTATAAATAAACATTCTATCGATTATCATTATAACATAATATTAATTACTTTAAAAGAGTGAAGTCGTTGAATGATCGCGTCGAAAAAAAAATATGATTATTCTTCAACGAGCAGTGAAATTCAATTACGAAAGAACTCATTAGCAGCGCGCTTCTCTCCTTCTCGTCGATAATGAAAGTAACGTCGCGAGATACTTCCTTTGAGTATCAACGGAAATACATACCGTGAAAATAACGATGTAGAAACTACGAGAAAGATAACAAGTTTTTATAAGTGGAAAGAATTACTCGAATATGTAGCGAAATATTGTATGTTTCGAGTATTTAACTCTTAAAGGCTATCATTAATGAAATTACATGTTAAAAAGATGAAAAAAATTAGAATTAAATAATTTATCAACTATCAATTAGTTTATTTGTTATAATTACTGATAATTTTCATTTAATATATTAATTAATATATTAAATAATATATAATACAAAAGTTGTAATAATTGAATTTCTTTTTTTTATGGCAGTTTATAATGAAAAATATTGTAATATACTCCGATGAAATTTCACATTGACGTGATCTTTTTTATAATAGCCTTCAAGGGTTAAATCAATTGAAAAAACAAAAGAGTTAAATCGTTAAAGAAAAAAAAAATAAAAATGAGAAACAATCCTTTCAGTCGTTCACGACCCACGTTGAAACCATCGACGGAGATAGTTTCGAAGGCACAGGAATTCATCGATATCTATAGATATCCACCGGTTAGACCAGCCCCGATTTATCCGACACCTCAGGTCGACAAGCCTGCAGCGAAATGCCGAAGAGACGTTTGTCTACTTCCGGATTGCAGCTGTGGTGGTGCCGACATTCCAGGTATACGCCCACTTTTGTCCTTAGCTTTGATAATTCTAAAGATATGCATAAGTACATATAGAATAGTAGTAGACGAATTTTAAAATGAAATTTTCTCTATTCGTTCTTTCACGTTTCGCTGTTGGATCCGATAAAAAGCACCGATAAACAACAATTTTATTCGATAGAACAGTTTCGTTCTCCTTTTTCTTATTATCATGCAAAAGAAATCTATTATTTTTCATTCTTTCGATCGTTTAAAAAAAAAAGTTTTTGCTATATCCTTTAAAAATAGATAAAGCGAGAAGTAATTCATGTAAAAATCATACTCGAGAGGAAGTTCGAAAGGACTGAATCGTGTTTTGGCTTTCTGATACGAAGGAACGTCGACCGGCAGTGACGTAAGTCGTCGCGCTACGAATGTTAAGTTTGACGATCGGTTTAGCGGTCGCCATGACTTTCTCTGATTCTAACGTTACATATACACGTTATATAGCGCGTTCGAAAGTGAAACAGATCCGCGCCGCGTACGTACGTACATATATATGTGTGTGTGTGTGTGTGTGTGTTTATATGTGTTTATGTGTGTTTATGTGTGTTTATGTGTGTGTGTAAATATATATATATACATATACATACACATATGTCTATATAAATGTATATACACCGGTCGACGTATCGCATGCGAGCGATGCCCTTCGAAATCGAAAGCTTTCCGAGAGAGCGAGTAATATTTTTTTATTTCGTTCCAAGATGAAAGCGAAGTGGTAACGATCTCTAGGGATCTCTTAGCTCGAATGACTCGTACGCGCCAGTAAAATCGAAATTCTTTTTTTTTTCTTTTTAATTTTCATTTTACCACGATCAAGTTGAAAGAATATTATTAATTCGTTTAAAGATATTGCATGGATAATTTAAATACAACTGGTATATCTTTTTTCATTTTCGAAATGGATTACGTAATCCATTTAATATTCTTATACGAAAGCGGCAAGTGTGTGAAATCGAACGGAAGATTCTTTTTCTCGATATCGAATCGAGGAGGTCGCATTTCTCCGATGAAATTTCTTGAGTATAATAGTATTAAGTAAAGTTGAAATGTCAGCGAGGTTTTTAATTTCATTGACCAAGAGTTACGTAAAAATGGCCGATTCAACATTTGTTTTCTTTTTAACGGTACGTTGTAAAATTTTTTTTACAAATGTTAACTTGGTGAGTTAGATGACAAGATGAGATAAGTAATTCGATCTAACAGATTGAATATCCATACGGATCATTTTAGTCTGATCGGAAGACGACAAAAAAGAAAAAAGTGAAAAAAAAGAAAGAAAAAGCAAAAAAACAAAATAATAAATGAAGGAACGAAGCTAAATTCGTATCGGGTTTAAAAATACATATACGATGAATCAATCGTCTATTCAGGAGGAATTCCAGCGGAGGAGACACCACAGATCGTCCTTCTAACGTTCGACGATGCCGTTAATGATCTTAATAAACCGTTATACGGTGATTTATTCGAAAACGGCCGTAAGAATCCAAACAACTGCCCGATCACGGCGACGTTCTATGTCTCGCACGAGTGGACTGATTATAGTCAGGTGCAGAATCTTTACGCCGACGGCCACGAAATGGCATCTCACACAGTCTCGTAAGTCTTTCGCTTAGTAAAAGGAGAAGAAGGAATTTTCGTTGTTGTCCTTTCTACCGACATTTGTGTGGCTTAACAAGAAAGGCTAGAAAGAATCACGTAACCGTGTCATATGGCGCGTGGCTATCGTCATTCGAGCTTGACGCTACGCTCATCATCCTCTCTCTTTCTTTATATATATATATATATATATATATATATATATATATATATGCGTGCGTATATTTGTGTGTGCGTTTTTATTTCGCTTTTAATCACTTTTCATACACCAAACTTGTTCTTTAAGATTAAACGAGGAATAAACGCTAATTGCGAGGGATCTTACCGATCTTGAAAAGCGCCAGTCAAATAATACATCAAGATTTATTAAAAACTTATTATTCATTTTGTCAAGAAAAATATTATTAATACGACGTAGAATCTCTTACGATGACCGACTTAGAGAGATCTCTCCGAGTATAGTGAGTCAAGGCTATTTATCGAAGAGGAGCACGTGAAAGCAAATAGAGCCAATCAAGGAATAATAAATATTTACGGAAAAAAATGACGGTGCGATTCGATCGGTAGGACACCTCTAAGCTCTATAAATGGAAAATAAGAAAAGAAGGATCTTATGCGTCCGGTGAAACGATTGATTATATCTTCTTCCTTTTTTTTCTCAGCTTCCTCTATTCGTCTTCTAAAACGAGAGGAAGCTGGTACGGCAACGACACCGATACTCGTAGCGCGTGTAAAGAGTTTCACCGAGCGCGTACGATACTCCTGCGGTATACTAATGACGCCTACTGACTGTAACTCTTTTCTCTTTCCCATTTGTTCTCTCTCTCTCTCTCTCTCTCTCTCACTCTCTCTCTCTCTCTTTTTCTTTTTATCTATCTATCTTTTTTTCTTTCTTTCTTTGTCTCTTTCATCGTCACGCATCATCATCCTACGTCTCCAAACAATTTAAAACGCGACGGAATCGCTATTTCAAACGGAATAAACAAAATTTCCTACGATTTCTTTGAACCTTCTCCCTCGTGTCCTACAATCCTAAAAAACAGGTGACTACCTTCCGGAGGAGATCCCACAAATTGTCTTGTTGACGTTCGATGACTCCGTGAACGATCTGAACAAGGGACTCTACGCCGATCTCTTCGAGAAGGGAAGAAAGAACCCAAATGACTGTCCTATCTCAGCAACCTTCTACGTGTCCCACGAGTGGACTGACTACAGCCAGGTTCAAAATCTGTATTCTTCCGGTCATGAGATTGCCTCCCACACGGTCTCGTAAGTATCCTCTTTGTAGGATCGACATCCCAAAAATATCTATCTATAAATATATACACGTATATCAATTTCTACAGAACATATGTACGTTTTATTGTATACAATGGTCCATGTCAAATGACAAATCGATTTCTCTGATCTCAAGTTCATCAAAATCACTTGTCTCTTTTCTTTTCACGTCAATATGCTTTCGAATTTGATTTACGCTTACTCAATGATCATTCAAATCATCGGCACGCTATAACAGATCATCAACGGTAGTAGGTATCGATTAACTATCATTTTTGATCACTGCTCTCAATTAACTACTAATGTAATGCTAGCTTGTTCGTATTACCGATCGCCAAAGGAAACAGATCATTCATATTGTACGGATAACAAATCGAATCGTACGTGCTCAACGCGAAAGAAACGTTCTTGCTTTCGCGAGTTATGAAAGACTAGGGCCGAGTCCAAAGATACGTCATGATCGCACTTTCTTCATTCAATATATATATATATATATATATATATATATATATATATATATTGAGCTCAACATACTATATAACGATTTTCTTATTTTAAATGATATGGTCAAATATATTCAATCCTATTAGTTTTATAAAGAAATGTTTGAAATAAAAGTTGTTGAATTTTGAGGGGTTTAATTCTGACTTTAGTGTGATACGTTTACTAACATAAGTTCCTAATCAAAACTTTATCTGTTCAATACCTTTTACAAGCTTAAGAATTTACAATGGGAAATTTTGAAATGTCTTATATATATCTAGATGAATTTGACTCGGTTCTAGGATATCGTTAATTAGAAAAATTCTTGGTTATTACGAAGGTAATAAATGTCAATCGTAGGCACAGTTTCGGAGAACAATTTTCACAAAGAAAATGGGCACGAGAAGTAGCTGGACAGCGTGAAATCCTTTCAGCTTATGGAGGTGTCAAGTTGGAAGATGTCAGAGGAATGAGAGCTCCATTCTTGTCGGTAAGATTAATGATTCCTTCCAAACACTCAGTTTCTATTTTCTTTACCTAAACTACATGTCTCTCTCTCTCTTTCTCTCTCTTTCTCTCTCTCCCCCTTTCTCTTTCTCGGTAGGTCGGTGGAAACAACATGTTTAAGATGCTGTGGGATACGAACTTCACCTACGATTCGTCGATGCCAATTTATGAGAACAGACCTCCTAGCTGGCCTTACACGTTGGACTACAAACTCTTCCACGACTGTATGATACCGCCTTGCCCCACCAGATCTTATCCTGGATTGTGGGAAGTTCCTATGGTAATGTGGCAAGATCTGAATGGTGGTAGGTGTTCTATGGGAGACGCTTGCAGTAATCCGCCAACTGCCGATGGAGTCTACAAGATGCTTATCAAGAACTTTGAGAGACATTACACGACTAACAGGTATGCGATTATCTCGTATTTTAAATTTTCAATTATCGATCGATTTTTCTCGTATATGTATTTATATATAATATTACGATAAAATCAAATGTCTCGTGTATTTTGACATAATAGAGCACCGTTCGGTCTCTTCTATCACGCGGCATGGTTCACTCAACCTCATCACAAAGAAGGCTTCATATCTTTCCTTGACACGATCGTTGCTATGGATGACGTTTGGGTTGTAACAAATTGGCAAGCTATTCAATGGATTAGAAATCCAACGCCTCTAGCTCTGATGCATAATTTTGAGCCATTCAGTTGCAATTTTGCGGTAAGTCGATTGAAAAAAATTAACAAAAAAATTAATGCGATAAAGATAATCTTATTTTGTTTAGGATCGACCGAAGAAATGTAACAATCCGAAGGTTTGCAATCTCTGGCACAAAAGTGGTGTTAGGTACATGAAGACCTGTCAAGCTTGTCCAGATATCTATCCATGGACGGGCAAAACTGGTATTAGGAGCAGTCGCATCGATAACGAAATCGATACTCACGAATGAAACGACAAACCGATCAACGTGGCGATCGAGACCCACCAATGAGGACGAAAGAGCCAAAACGAGGAGAACGATGCATAGCTCATACAGCATTTGTGTTCTTTTATCTCTCGTTCCTCTGAAGAAATTCTGAAGTTCGAGTACGCCAAGCTGTTTTATTTTTCTTTAATTTTTCTATTTTTTCATTTCTTTTTCTTTTCTTTTTTTTTCATTTTTCCTCTTTTACTCGTATTATTGGTCGAGAAAAACAAAACAAGCAACATGGCTACAACTTTCGCGACTTTGGTGGGTCTGCGAAGTGTAATCAAAAAAAAAAATTGAGTCCTTTCTAGAAAAGATTTCAAAATAGGACTGTTCCATAGATCGAAAAACACGTACGTGTTCTTTTTTTTTTTTTTAAAAGACTTTGTTCCTTTATCTTTCTTCTTTTTTTTCTTCTTTCTTGTTTCGTCCAATCGGTTAACCACGATAATATAACGACATTAAGATATAATAATTGTATACAAATACGTTAAAATGCTAATTGCGTTATATTGTTGAAACAGGGTAACTTGACACGATACGAGTAGAATTATTAAATTATTTCGAAGCAATGTATTGAGACGGCGGGCATTGATTCATGTGAACCGATGAACGTGGCACGAATCGGTGACCGCGAGTCAGTGAAGTGTAGTAATTTTTTTCTTCTTTTTCTTCTTCCTTCGTCTCTTTATTTTTATTATCTTCTTCTTTTATCTTTCTATTATCTCATCATTTTCTACGTACGTGTCTTCCTTATATTGTATTTTATTTTATTTTATTATAAGCAACTTTCTCTTTTACCTACTTCGAAATCTTTCAACACGTTCTTGGCGTACTCGGAAAAAATTCGAGATAGAGCAATTAATCACGAGTAATTAATAATAATAATAATAATAATTAAATAATAACAAAATGATAACGATAATAATATTCGCGGAAAAAAATATGAAAATGATTGCCGATCATGAAGTTTCGTACGTCATTTCGTGATATGTATTATCATCCACCGAGGTTTGAATGTGCGGAGATCACTTTGATGGAAATTTATTAAAAAAATGTCGAAAGAAAAATGTCGCTTTCTTGAAGGATCGTGAGTATGAGAGGAATCATTGTGTTTTACCTGAACCTGAAAAATATAATACGGCTTTAATAAATACACATTTCGTTAGAATTCACAAACACACATACACACGAGTGCACGCATATAATTTATCGTATAAATTAATAATCAAGTACAATCAAATGGAACTGAACGAATAGAATCTTATGAAAATTGACGTTTACTTTAAATCAAGCAGGATGACAGTTATATGTCATATGTTTTTATTACAAACATGTATTTGGGATCGGTAAAGGATAGAGTATGGAAGCCCAAGTATCTAAGTCATATTTCTCAATATCCTGCCAGTGAACATTATTCATATATGCGATATTTTCAATCCAATATTCCTTGAGATTACAGACCGTCATAGCCTTGAAAAATTAAAAAGTAAGTTTTCTATAAAACAAGAAATCGATGAGAGATCAATCACCTATATTCATTTGAATCATAGAAATTTTATAAATATGATTTCATTTATTATTCATATTACCCGTTTATTTTGTATGATCCATGCGATAACAATCTTGTTATCTTGCAAACGAGACCATTTTTCCGCCTTATTCAAGTAAATATTTCTCTGTGATTTTTTACCATAAATTATATTTATATGAGATTTAAAAAAATAGAGAAACGGTTTTATGAATGGAGCACGTTTCGAAACTCGATTGAGAGTTTTTGTGATTTGATGAATCCCGTCGAAAAGTTCGATAAGTTGATTCGCTTTCTTTAAATTTATACAACGAATTAGTACTAGGAGAAAGCATTCTAAGCCCTGCAACGACAGATCAGAATATTTAGAATTTATTGTTGTGATCAATAATATTAATTCGAATGGATTACTTGGCAGCAAGTGACAATTGTAGAAAAATCATCATGTTTAACTTCTTTCGTATAACTATCCACGGTTAGTTCATAACTTTCGTCAATTCTGTATCCCCTGATAGGAAGTTCGATGTGTAAATATGTATCAATGAATTGTAAACATTTTCATGAACTTACATTCGCAATTGCCAAATCCATAAACCACTTAAAAGTCGAGTAAGACAGACTGGATCGCGAGAAACACAACCTTTCGTATTGCAAGCTATTTTATAATAAATATGTTGTTTTTATTTTTTTTATTTTAATTTAATATATATTTCATTAGTATGAATCGAATGATCGATATAATTAAAGATGGATAAACGTACCAGTGAGTGTTTTGGCATGTTGGAGACAGGATTCGTAAGATTCCAAAAATATTCCAGCTTCTAAGAATAATTCTAAGGAAAGAGCATAATACCAGGTAATCGCTGAATTATCGATGTCCTCGTCTGACATATAATGCAGCTCGTTGATGAGATCAATTGCTTCGCTAATATGTTTTGTCCATATCTGTTTGCAAGATATGAAGGAGTAGAAGAAAATGTGAAAGAAATATGTTTACTATTGATTACCATGATTTCTATAAATGATGGCAGCAAAACAAGTTTCACATGGGTAAGTTTCATCATGTATGTCATTTTAAGTATATTTTTACCAAATTCTATGGCATCTTGAAATTCACCTCTCAATGCTCTGTTATATGTAACAGAGTATGTATATGTAAAAATATAAAATTATTGAATATGTATAATTAATTCGACTTTTATTTGATTTTAATAGTATTACCTAATCTCGTACATCGCCATAAATATTTTCGTTATAAGCATTAAGTCTTCTGGATAGAACCAATACATTTTTCTTTTTATTATCTCTATTATTATATGCTCAAGGCATCTGATAAAATTGAAGTTATCTGCATGTCGAAAAACTTTCACAGCAGTCAGATAAATTTCGGCCTGTTTAAAAAAATTACCTGCATTTTCGAATCCTAATCTGAGACTTTGCAAAATGATCGACTTCGCAATTTTTTCTTTTCCCTCTATCTAGATGATCATATTATGATCGTATTCAATAATTTATGTAACTTAAAAATGATAAAATCAAAAGAATACGATTGTCACCGTAAAAATCAAAGAAAGTCGTCCAAGATAAGATGCCAATTCCAAGTTATCAAAAGCTGTAAGTCCTCGATAACGATTGACAAAATGTTGTAAAAATCTTTTTCCTATTTGTAAAAATAAGTTTTCTATACAAGCTGTGTAACAAGCAGCAATTGTTGATTGTGGTATATTAGTTTGTGACGATACTGCTTTGGTATATATCATCTTTGCTTGCGAATAATTACCTAGTGCCACATGAGCATCGCCTAAAAATCATTTTCTTTAAATAATTATATAATTAGAACAAAATTAGCTACATACCCATCAACATCAAAATTATTTCTTTATTAACGATCGAATGTTCATTATATATTCCTATTTGCTGACATTTCTTTTCTAATTTCTCGTGTCTCTGTTTGGCAATTTCAAGAATTTTTAGAGCAAACAATGGCTCTGCAATGTAAATTAATCCTATGCTATATTCAATTAAAAATTCTAATATATGTTCATCTGAACCTATAAAAAAATATATTCGATCAAAAAAATTATATTCTTGCTAGTATAAAATAATATAAAAAATAATAATAATATAAAATATGATAAAAAATGAAGTATATTCTTAATATACTAGGATCAAATGAATAAAAAATTACCTATTTTCTCGACATATTGACTCAATTGCCAATATATACAATTAATTTTGTCGTAACAATAACAACTTCTATAGTCGATAGAATTGAATTCTTTTAAAAAAATATGAGAAGGATCGGTTATTCTTTCGGGTGTAACAAACGATCGTCTTAAAAATTTTAATCTGAATTTATCATATAGGATATGATTTGATACATTTATAACGTCTGATGAAAAATTTATAATATGAGATATAATTTCGATGAAAGATATGACAAAAATGAATATGTATAAAGCGAAATGTGACCTTCTAATTGTTCCTCTTCTTCACCATACTCAGAGAATGACAATACAGATATTTTAGAAATAGACTCCAAAAATTGTTGAATATCAGTTTTAAGAATATTTCGTTTTGGTTCTCTAAATACATCGGTAGTTATGATCTGCAATAATAATACGACAAACTTGGCAAAAAATAGAGGAAGGAGCTTTACAGTAGAAAATGAAATGAATCGTGAAAGAAATTCTTAAGAATAAAGAAGTTGCATGAAAAAAAGTAATAATAAAATAAAATATAAGAGGGATAACATAAAGTATACTCCTTCACCTCTTCCGATAAGTTTCTAAAGAATGTTTTTGAAAAGGAACCGCCACCACATCCTTCACATTTATGAGTTTCTCGTCTGTATATCTTACAAGCTTTGTACCAGTAGTCATTTTTTGTACTCCTTTGCAACATATTGTACAACATTTTATGAAACGAAAGAATCTTAAATTCCAATATCTTGCAATTAGAATAAGTAGGTAATTCTGATATCCCAAAGTTGTCTTTAAAGATCAAAACAGATTTGATTTTTACACAATTTAGGTGAAACGTTTAATAGTGTATAACTCACGAGAGACCGGGCAATTACATTGTACCAAATGATGCATATTAGAGAATGTTTTTCTTCTTATAAGTAAACTATAGAAATAATTATCGGTATAAAATAGATGTCTTTGTATAGAAGCACATTCCACTACTCGTATTCGAATTAGTTCGGACACGACTGTAAAATAAAAAATAAATAATTTTACAAAATAATATAATCATCGAACAACATAATTTACTTGCTTTCAGCTGTATGCTTTGCCGTTGAATTTATTATAAGAGTTTGAACGATCGTCCGTACAAAAAGTTGACCGATTGCCGCAGCACATTTGATAAATTCTTTTTGATATAAATTCATCCTTTCATAAATCATCCTTTTCAGACCTAAAATGATATAATCATATTACACACATATTTTTTTTTAATACGCATCAAATTCATTAACACTCAGATATTATAATAGTTACCACTATAATTCAAAGTGGCATCAGCAAAACCAATATATTTTTCATTAGTTATACAAATAGGAAAAAGATTTGTTTTAGAAGAAGGGATCACGTCTTCCGGGAACAAATCAGACGGCACTTTTCTTATCATATAAGATTCCGGGAAAATAAGATTATATTGTTTTAATTCAGTGCTAGTCATAGTTAAAAAATCAAGTCCATTACTTTGCAAAGTCAAACTCAAATATGTTTCACACCAGCCTATATCGTTTTGACTATATTTTTTTATAATCCTGTTTAAAAGATATGTACTATTAATTATCAATAGATTGATATCAATATAATATCATTATATTCACTTGAACATTTTATAAACGACTTACGCGTCCAAAGATTTAGGTATTGCGACAACATTAAGAAATTGACAGGCAAACCCAGTTAACAATTGATTATCTAGTCCGTCTAAAGTAATTTTTATTAATCTTCCATCTTCAAAAAAATTTTCCTCTACGTCGAAGTTTTCGATATCAAAAGGTGGATTTAGAGTAGTTATTACTGTTACTACGTTAATATTTTCCAAAGCTAATGACACAAAATGCCAGGACATCGAATCAGTATAATGAAAATCGTCCAAAAATATACACATTTTATCACTCTGTAGCGTACAAAAGTTTTATATGAAAAATTTCATTAAAATTTATTTAATTATAACTATCACACACTTGATTTAAAATAATGCTGAAAATTTCTGTCATTTTTATATGACGTTGCGAATTATTAGCCGCACAATACTCATCCGAAAGAGGAAAAGAAACTTTCATTAATGTATTTAAGTAACAAAATTCATTTGAGGAGAGAGACGAACCCAATTTCTTTTTTAATACTCTTTCGCGATCTTTAATAGACTTGCAATCTTCTGCATCGAGTATCTAAAATATAAGATCGACTTAACATAATAATTAATAATGCATCGTCAAATAATATAATTTATAATTACTTGCCAGTAAAATAATATAATAAATCACTGTATATTCTTTTTCTGAATAAGAATGATGCAGAGGAAGTTGGACAACATTTATTTGTCTATTTTTAGCAATGGTGACATAAGCATCGAGCAATCTAGATTTACCAGATCTTTCATTACCCTAAAAATGTTAACCAAAATTAACAAAAATCTCTAAAATTTTATTGTATTAAATTTCAAACCGTTATCAATATTCCAGAATAATTTCTATCCATGACTCCAATATTATCTAAAATGTCATTGAAAATTTCCAGTTCTTGAGAACGACCCAAAATAGGATAACGATAATTCAAGTTCGAAGTGTTAATCGGTGTTAGCTGTATACTATAAGACACCCATAATCTATAGAACATAAATTTAAGATTATAATAAAAATATTACTTACAAAGGTATTCCAAGAAACTCGTAAATGTGACACTTTCTGTTTCTTTTTAATTTCTGCACACCATTCGACTTGAATGCAGTTCTGCTTAAATTACTGTGCATTATGGTATCGTAGTCGCAAAATATCTTTAATTAGTTAATATTTATAAAAAATCTATCTTAAGCGAAGAAGAAAGATATTGAAAAGAAAACAATCAATTAATATATATATATATATATATATATATATATATATATATATATATATATATATATAAATAATATATAATATATAAATATAAAAAATTATATATAATATATAAATTATAAATATTATATATATATAAATAACCTTATCATGTGAAATTTCCATCATTCCCCTAGCTTTGATCACTGGGACACCGATGATCATATAATCTTTTCTCAAGTTGTGCCCAACAACTCCACAATAAGCCATCCCTTGGTATAAACACAAAAATTAAATGATTTAAAAAAAAATAAAAAAAAATAGCATATTTAATAGATCACACCTGTGGATATACCAATCGATACAACATGTGTACGCCATTTATTTTTAAGAGCCTGTAATATTTTAAATGCGCATATTATTGCATTTTGCACCATTTTTCCATTATTATTGTCATTAACAACTCTGATCGATTCTTCTAATCCAAAAACAATCGAAAATAAAATATTGTTTTCATACATATTTACTAAGTATATACATCCCAAGTATGAATCAATTATACTGTAAAATTAGTATGCCGTTATATTCCGTAGTATTTAAAGACACTTCACACAAACCTAGATGAAATTACCTATGTAGAAGTAAATAACACTCATCCACCAAATAAACAAGTTCTAAGGTTGTGCAATTAGAGGGTACAATATCTATACAAATCATTGTTATTCGTCTTGTATCCATTAGGTATTCCACCGGTAGGTCATGTATGATCTGTTGCAATTAAGACAACGAGTATGTAAAATTTGTTTGATTTAGTTCAAATTCATAGAGTTTTACTTGCTCAGCAACTGTATTTATTAGATAAACTTTTAGTTGAACTCCAATATTTCGTTTTACTGCTTCTTCCACATAACTTTGTGCTAGAAAGAAAATTAGAAATTATATCAATGTGTTTAATAATTATTTTTTATAATCGATTTACAATAATTTGTTTAATCATGATGTACTTGAAAATATCTTCTTGTTTAAATCATCATTGGAACTATTATTTTCGTCTTCTGTTGAGATCAGAGTTGTTTTAACTAACAACTCAGTTAATTTTTGCAAAATTGTAGGATCCCGTTGACCGGAATTATTCGAGATTAACGGTCTAATCGTAGTCTTATGCCTTTCTATTTTTGTACTATTTTCTAGTATTTTAATTATCTGCAAGAAATTGAAATAAATGATCGTCTTGAATAAATAGTATATTGGTTGAAAAATATTTTAACAAACTTTTATATTATACGCATCCTTGATCACATATTCGTATTTGAAAGGTGTACAGTGCTTCCAGGCGTTCATAGACAAAACTAGATCACCAGGTAGACAAACATTCTTTGCTTTTTTAAAATCTAAAACCGGTTGACCCGCGATAATGTAATGTCGTGATAGTTCGTTTCCGATGATACTAAATATTATGTTTCCAGCCGAAATAATTATGTTTGCTGTTTAGAGAAACATAAAAAAGATTTTTGATGCCAAGTGGAAATGGGATAAGTATTAATATTTACTTTTCGACATAACTTCTTCATCTTTTTCGACGGCTATTAGTGCATTTTTTAGATTGAAAGCACAGCTTATCACTTTTGGCATAATATTTAATATTAATTCACCTTGATGAATCCTCCATAAAGATAATATCGTGTTCTCTGATTAATTCTAATCTATTACTTGTTGGTCTTAGGATGAGTATTTATATATAATGCATACATACGCGAAAATTTGAAAATGTCTCCGTCTGCCGAATATATTTCATCGACTATAATGTTTAAATATTTATTTAACAAAATGGTAAAGGCATACATTCCACCTTTCTCGGCATTTCTATATCTATTGTAAAGATTTGTTAAATCTGATAGAGAAAAGGAAAAATGTATGCGTATGAATTATTTTTTATAATAATTATATATATACATATATACATACATATACACATACACACACACATAATTTGATAATTTTATACACACACACACAATTAGAGGATGCTAAAATTAACCTGTAATATCAAGAAATAGTAAAATCACATTAAATTGATCCATAATCTTATTAGTTAGATCTTTGGCTAGGATGATCTCATTTGGTACAAAAGTTGCCATGAGACGAGTGAATTTACTTGTTTGTTGATTATGTAAAATCTGAAATAATAAATAATATTTTTAAATCATCCAATTTTTTTCTCTATTTTCATATAATTATAAACTAACATTTTTTAAAGAAATTCGTCTTTCATCTATTGGATCACTTGATTCTGGAGTCCATAAAGGTAATAAATAATTACGCGGAGATAAATATTTCTCCATTTTTATGTAAATTATTTATTAATTTATGTAAATTATTTATACGAAAATACAAATAAATTTCTTAATAATTAAACTTCATGTTGTATATATTGCGATATCTTATATTTTGGGTAGTAGTCCACTTTATCGGTCCATGATAACATAATGGTCAAGTTAATTTCTGTAATATCAACATAGACAAAGTTTTCTCTCATCAGATGGCTGTTCGTTCTAGTATATTGATTGTTTAGATCGAATATTAGTACTCTATTCTCTTGGCCAGTGCAAATCATCGACGAAGAAACATTTTTTCATATAATTTTTCAAAGAAAATAATGCTTTTTAAAAAAATAAAAAAACCTTGCTTTAACTGAAATGATCTTTAAAATGAGAATTTGTTCATCAGAATTGGTACTCATTATTGAAGCAAACCATCATAAAACTAGGGATGATGCACAATCTTCATTTTCATAACAGAACGCCTTTCACTTGTTGCCTCTTGGAACGATTATTGACCTGATAGACATTCGTATTTAGGTATTTTATAAAGACGTTTAGAACGACATTTAAAGCTAATTTCGGATATAAACTACAAAAGAAATACTTTGAAGAATTGATTAATTGTTTTATCGATCTAAGGAAGAATATTACGAGTAGATGTAACATAGTCGAGATTAAAAATATCGAGCTTATTTTCTTTTCTCATTTCGATATAATACGGAATAAACGACAATTGTTGTATTTTGACAGTACATTCTTTTTTCTCTTTTTTAATGCTTTTATTTAATCACTTATATAAAATGTCAATCGATTAACAAATTCGATGAATGAAATGGATATTTTACCTGTTTTCCTTAAAAAATAATATTAACTTGTCATACAATGGTATTAATCAAGGATGTTAATTAAGTGAATTAAATGATTTTCATCCATCTTTTACCAAATGAAGCACGCTATCCCGTGTAATACCACTTTCTCTCAAGGACGATCCTAATTCTTCTAATCGTTTTGGCGAATATCTATTAAGAAAAGTAAAAAGAAATAAAACATTCAAAGGATATTTAATTCGAAAGTTGAAAAAAAAGTAAGGCATCCTAATAGAAAATATATCTTACCCACTAACGAGAATCTTGTATCCTTTGTGCCAAGTTGCAGGTAAAGCCTCATTCAATAGTTCGTAAAGTTTAGCGATGAAATCGTCTGCAGATAAGTGAACGAGATAAATAGTGCCGCCATTTAATGACCTCACCTTCAAACGAAGCTCTCCGGACTTTCCACTGGGCTCGTTGATTTGATGTAAGATAGGAGGCTGAAACATCGATTTGGTACTAATACGTCTCATTAACATCGATTTCATACTAATATCTAAGATGATACGATCTAATTACTCATAAAACAATTTTAGAATTTATTATCTTACAGCTGGTTTGCTAGCATGTGTCGCTGATTTAGAAATTCGAGGATTTCTCGGTGATTCTACCGAAGGTTTACCAGAAATTTTACCTTCGTCTTCGGATAATGATTTTGATTTAGAAACATTCGATCTGCTAAGTCGACGATTTGATATACTTGCCGATCTTGATCGAGCTCGCGATCGATCGTTGATCTTCTCTAAACAACTACAAAATATCATGTAACTTATTTTCTGTTTTATTAATAACGAGTAATTCAATGTAGGAAGGTCTTTACATTGGTGATAACTTTGACGATAATCTATCGTTACAATAATGTTGATAACTTCGTCCGCTACTTGGAAATCTTGAAACATTTCTGAGTTTAGAATTCCTTTCTCTTACCAATAGATCATACTCGATATTCTTTGTAGCAAGATCTCGCTGTAGAAAAAGTACAAGAATTAGAATCAAGGCTAGGATAGAACAAGATAAAAGGCAAAAATTAGGACAAAGGATTAGAAATTGATTATTGTTTCTTACTTTCTCTTTACGACTGCTCAAAACTAACTCAGCATTAATGTGAGATTGAAGATGAGAATCCGAACAGACGTTATTGTGTGAGGCTAAAATTTGAGATCTTAAGGAAAGAATATCGATAGATTGTGAATCTGAAGAATTTTTTGATTTCAGTGATCTATAAACAAACATTGATTATTATTCATTACAACGACTTATTATTTACAAACGTAATTGTAAAACCTTGCAGCGAAAGACGAAGTAAACTCAATGTTGCAAGGATTCTCTTTTATTCTTGGACTGCATTGACGAGAAGAATTTGACAAAATCTTCGAATTACGAAGACGAATCGACGATGATCCGTCTTTAGATGTTTGCTTTCCTAATCGATGACCCTGACCAGGAAAAACATTAACATCGTTTGTGTATACTTCCGATCTATGATCTTCAACCTAAATAAAGGAATATAAAAATTATGATGAAGTCTAATCGGAATATTCGTTATAATCATTTTTTACTTTGAAAGGCACTCCATTTGGATAGGCTTCTTGTAATTCAGATGGGAAATAACCATCGAGGATATCACGTATGAAGGAAGTTGTTCTTGGATCATTGTAAAGACGCAAAGGACTATCTTGAACTATCATTCCATTCTTGTAAAATTTTAAGGATATACAAGGCAGTGTCTTGAAAAAAAATGAACTTAATAAGAGAAAAACTAGTTTTATGTTCATTTTGATCAATAAATTTTTCTTTTGGGTTAGAAATAAAAACAAAGTTCTTTTCTTTTTTTTCTATTATCGATTAAAAAGAATAATATAAATTAGAAAGAGTTGGGATTAAAATTAGAACGGCGAAACAACGATGTAGTTACCTTGAAACTTGCTCCACTACCTTTTTCGTTATGATGCACGTGGACCTCTCCCTTTCCTGCGGCTATGTTTAACCGATCGATGTTTGCGATAAGTTGTTCGTAACAAGACTCAATAAAATTACTGAAACTGACAGTTACTAATCAATTCAACTGATTATTTGCGTCTTAAAAGATTCATTTATTAATAGACTTACTTAATGGCGTATTCTGTATTTAATGTTGAGGTGCCATTATCTCCGACCCAGATCAATCCGTAATCGGCTAAGAATTTCTATGTAGTAAACCCGATCTTTTTGTAATATACATATACACACATACACAAATATACATATACAGGATATCCCACGGAACTAGATTAAGGTACATCTTTGAAAAGATTGGAGATCGAGAAAAATGTCATAGGACAAAATTAAATAGTATTAAACGCTACATAATTCTATGAAACTTTCACGCATTTTTGTGCATCGGTAAAGTTGCATGGTGCAATTGCAATTTTTTTTTTAATAGAAACTTTAACTTTGAATACATTAATTGATGCAGTTTTTGGCCTCTATAAAACATGTTAATAATATTATATCTTAAAATTGTTAATTTATGTATTATTTTAATTTCAAACATGCTAAATTATTTCAATGTTTCAACACATTTAGATGTACTCTGTCACGCACTTTGTTCTCTTTCTTTTTCTTTTACTTTTCGAGCTGATTCTCACGCGACTTTGTAATTTTACGAATGGCTTTTTTATTTTTTTATTTTTTTATTTTTTTATTTTTTTATTTTTTTATTTTTTTATTTTTTGTTTTTGTTGGTCATCCGTTTCATGGTTTTTTTGTCTATACGAGATTCATAAAATTTTTCTAATAATAACTTGCACGTTTAAATAAACAAAAAAGAAATACTATGTATGACTATGTATGACTTATTATAGTTTGATGTTTGTGACAATTTTATTGAGAAGAAAAAAGAAAATTTTGTTAGAAAATATTTTTAAAAAAAAAAAAGGAAAATTAAAAAAGAGATGTAAAATCATAATAGCCCCATAGGATTATATCTCTCTTGGTCCCTTAAGGGCTCAACTCGAGATAATATTTAATATTCTCTCTCTCTCTCTTCTCTTTCACGCGTTCTTCTAAACGTATTGAAACATTGAAATAATTCAGCATGTTTGAAATTAAAATAACATCTAAAATAACAATTTTGAGACATAATATTATTAACATGTTTTGTAGATGCTGAAAAACTGCATCGATTAATGTATTCAAAATTAGAGTTTCAATTAAAAAAAAGTACAATTGCAGCTTGTAACTGCACCAATGCACAAAAATGCTTGAAAGTTTCAAAGGATTATGTAGCGTTTAATACTATTTAATTTTATCCTATAACATTTTTCTTGATCTCCAATCTTTTCAAAGATATAACTCGGCTCAGTTCCGTGGAACACCCTGTATATTAGACTAGATATATAAATTAGCTAATGTGTCGCAATTGCTATAGTAGGTAAAGAACTTATTTGCATGTTATCTAAAATCATTATATCATATATCAATAACATTTTTAATTCAAATCAAGTATTCTGAGAGTTTAAGTTGATTTAAAATAATTTATGTTATACATAGAATACTTGAGAGAAGAAAATGATCTTCAAAGTTTTCTATCGATAGATTTTATAACAAAATCATTCTTTTTTAAGCAAGTATAAAGAAAGTATAAAGAAAGATAAAGAAATGGCGAGAAAAAAATTATCCGATTTGAAATAATTGTTCTTTTATCCATTCCATTTATAAAAAGAAAGAAAAAGAAAAGTAAATTAGATCAAACCTCCATCTCAAAGATTTTATGCTCGAGTATAAGACATCGTTTGTAAAGGTACTCCGAATTGTCAATTTGATTATTTCGTTGTTGGTGTTCCTTCTTCGTAAGGGTTTCTTGATTTTTGCATTTGATCTCCAAGTCCTTCACCTGAGCCAAATTATGTGACGTGGAACATTATCCCACCGTAAGATCTGTATTTATTCTTACAAAGACGGCTAAAGCACGGCTAAAGAACCTTCCGTTTAAATCTTTCGATTTCCTGATCTTTGTCATGCAATCTTTCCTCCGCCTTAGATAGAAGATTCTGCATCTTGTGCATCTGTGATTCGGCCAGGTACAATTGTTTCGTCACTATACTTATGAATTCGCTTTCTACAAATCAACGAACGTTGAAATCTTTTTCTAATTTCTTTGTTAATTTAATTCGTAATTATTTAAAAACATAATTTGTTAGGAAAGAACAGATCTTTTTAATTTTTTTTTTTTTTATTATTTTTATTTCCTTTTTTTTTAATTTTATGATAATTCGTATGGTACCTTCTTCAATAGTGTTATTTACATGTATGGGAACATTCGAGGATCTTTCAAGAATTTTACTGTTATTCACCCATAATCTTCTACCGCTAAAACTTGTCCCTGTATTCTACAAAAGTTTGAAATTTTTTAATTGTATTATCGAAGTATATATGTATATTATCTTGAGATAAGATTATAATTTGAACCGTTTTATTCGTATCTGCCGATGATGTACCAGGATTAGAAACGATTTTTGTTCTCTGCGATTTATTGATATTTTCATTATCTAATCTTTCATTGTCAGTAGCACTCAATATGTAAGAAGAGTTAGATAATACTTTTTTTAATCTAAAGAAATGAGATGTTAATAGATATTGTATTTTGCTTATAATGAAAATGTTTTATAACAAAGGATACAACTCGGAAAATCATTTTTTCTCCCTTTTTTATCAAAATATTTACTATATAGTCTATATGAAAAAAATTAAAAAATAAAAAAACAATACTTGTGTTTGCTGTTACGCGAAGAAACGAATTGATATTTCTTTTCTGAATTTCCTATTGGGTCTGATTGATTCATTCTGCGTAGAATCTTGTTAATGAATTCGATAACATTTACATCAAAAATTTTTTAAGGTTATCCAAAAATAACGTATGTCGGCAGTAATATTTGAAATAGTATAGATGAAGAGGGTAAAATGGATCCATAAAACTCAATAACAATCTGCG